ACGACGGCGCACGGCTTTCGCCAGCCGCCACGGCCGAGGCCACGGGCGCAGGGGCCGGAGCCGCTGTAGCCGCAAGCCGCTGCACGTGGACTTCAAGGAGCTGGGCTGGGACGACTGGATCATCGCGCCGCTGGATTACGAGGCCTACCACTGCGAGGGCGTCTGCGACTTCCCATTGCGCTCGCACCTCGAGCCCACCAACCACGCCATCATCCAGACGCTGCTCAATTCCATGGCGCCCGACGCGGCGCCCGCCTCTTGCTGCGTGCCCGCGCGCCTCAGCCCCATCAGCATCCTCTACATCGACTCGGCCAACAACGTGGTCTACAAGCAGTACGAGGACATGGTGGTGGAAGCGTGCGGCTGCAGGTAGCGCGCCGGAGGCTCAGCTGTCGCGGCGTCCGCGCGAGCGTGGGTGCGCCTCGGCCTCTGGGCCGCGTCCGTACCCGCACGGAGGAGAGCACACGTTCACACTCACAGCCGCACGCTCGTCACTACGCACACACCGAGCGAGGAAAAAACAGCCTCAGAAAGCTTTGGGAAGAAGGAGTCTGCCTTTACCGGGGTCACAGCGCTGCGGATTTTGTAAACAGATCCCCGTGGCACTCGCTGCTCCTCCACACAAAAGGGGAGGGAGTGTGCCTGTGGTGTTTTGGTAACTGACACTAAGTTGGGTAGAAACGGGTTAGGGCTAGGGCTTCGGAACGGGTGGCCTACGGGGTACTGAGAACATTTTCTCGCGGCCCCTGTTTCTGGCTGGTGGAGCGTGGCCCCTCTGGTGGCTCAGCTCCCGGTGTCCCCTCTAGGACCACCGGAGGGCCAGAGGGCCCTTTCTGGGGTTTGTGGCGCACTGGGACTGGTTACTCTGGGAAGGAACCGGTGGGAACGGCCTCTTTCTCCCGCGACTTAAACATTTTAATGTGCTGCTGCTTCCCTTTTGAAAGGGAAGTTTTGCTTGAAAGAATGCGTTGCGGAGCTTCCCGATCTCAGCAAAGGTCAGCGCCGCCCTTTCAGCCATTCTAGTTGGGAATGGTCTCAAAAGTGGGAAGAACAGCGCGTGTGGGATGAAATGGGAGGGGTCTTGCACCCCAGAGCGGACAGGACGCGCGTGGAGTGGGGTGGGGTGGTGGGCGCTGTCAGGCTCGGCAGCGCCTCGGCTAGAGGCTAGAGAGAAGGGCGAGAGCAGCGCCTCGGAATCGCAGGAGGTTAGTACCAGGGCTGATGAGGCAAGGGTGCAGCTGTCCGCAATTGTAGAGACCTGCCAAGGCAGTTTCCTAAGCCGCTGGCGAAGGGCCCCAGTGTCTTGGGGACTTGGGGACTCAGGCTCCTGCCAGGTAGGCAGCCCCACCGCGTGGCACAGCGCGAGTGGCCGCATATGCTTGCGCTTAGCTATCATGTCTGCGGCAGCTTTGACATGCTTTCGCTGTTGTTGCTGTGGGTTTTTGGCAGTGTGATAGTTACGGGAAGTGAAGCCACACAAAAGTGCTTTTGTCAGACCTCAGCTCTCTCTCTAGATCTTAAGAGCAGGAGGAAGGCCCGCCCCCGGGCTCCCGGCTCAGCAGCTTGGCTGCCGTGGCCAATTCGGAAGGGCAGGGCCTTGGTGTGGGCGGAACGGCGTGGGGGGCGGGCGGGCCTGTCTCTGGGTCCCAGAAATATGCCCCAAGGTCTTATTGATGGCAGGGTTCTCTGTCGACCTGAAAGCGAGCTCCGACAGGCCCGCCTTGTTTATTTGATTGTTCGCATTTGGGAGTCTTTTGTGGTCTTTTGCTAGTGATTGGGACAGAGAAGCCGGACTCCACCTGCCAGCCTGGTGGCCTTTTTGCAAAACTACAGCGCTCCTGGGTACTGCTTAATGCTGGGCTCCATGCTGTCGGTTCCAGAGAGGCCTCAATTTCATTCTTGTCTTTGATGCTAAGGTCCAAGAGAGTTCATCCTATTTTAATTCTCAGCGGTTACACTTTACACCCTTGAGGGAGAGGAAATTTATTTTTTCAGGTCCTACTGGAGACAGGTCCTACTGGAGACATTTTCATTCTGCAAAAATTCCCCCAAAGAGTAAAAACACTCACACGCACTGTAACTTATTCTTAAAATTAAGAATTTCACTGAGCATGGTGGCACATGTCTGTAGTCTCAGAACTCTAGGAGGCTGAGGCAGGAGGATCTCCGTAAGTTTAAGGATAGCCTGGGCTACATAACGAGACCCTATCTCCAAAAAAAAAAAAAAAAAACCACAAAAAATTAAGATTTTTCTCTTCTTATAATGTGACTTTATTATGCTGTGGCTGTGTGAGTAGCTTTAAGTAACCAGGAAAGGCAACTGTTTCTCCAGGTTAAAACATCAAAACTGGTTGTTTGGATATAATTCTATCTTACTTTAGTGACCAGGGAAAGATGGAGCCCAGATTTATGGGCTCTGCCAGGGAAGCCTTGCTCTTCTGTTTTAAACAGTAATTTTAATGACACCCGTGTAGTGACTGCTCTGATCCCTGTGGTAGTGAAGAGTGAAAATGGCACAACAGTGTTAAAAAGCCATCATAGTAAAAGGTTTAGAAAGGAAGTTAATGAAGCATCACAGTTAAATATTTTGAGGAAATTTAAGGGTGTTTACTATCTTTGGACAAAGGCAAATATTTTGATACTTCTAGTGACTGGGAGAAACACATTTCAGGCAAGAAATGTCTTGATTTAAGGTAGGGAACGGCGTGCATTTCTGTTTCCGTTTCAGGTGCTGACTTCTCTCTGGAGCTGTGCTGTGGTCAGTGGTGCGGCTCTGTCTTCCCAGGCTGCACCTGGGGAGCCACGCTGCCCTTAGTGATTCTCCCGGCTGAGCCTCGCTGTGCTGTCCACTGTCTGCTGTCTGCTGTCCGTGGGTTTCCCCGGGGCTGTGCGGACCCTGGAGGCTGGGGTCTCCCACTGTGCCCAGCTTCTGGGGAGCTCATTCTCCAGAGGGTGGGTTCCTCCTTGTAAAGATGATAGCAAAAGGGCCACCATGTGTGGGACGTACAGGGTTTTCTGCTGCCAGGATGGGGTTAAGTTAGCTTTGCCAGGGTGAGAAGGGTTGCTGAGCGCAGCCGGGAGCACCCGGAGCACCCACGATCTGACTGTCTGGTGGTTTGGAGCAGAGCCCAGCTGCTCCCTGGGAATCCCCATTCAGTGCTTACAAGGAGCAAGGACCAAGTGTGTCAGGACTGTGTGTGTCACCCACTTTTCACCCCAACCAGGTCATGAAACTATCCCTGTTAAAGCGAAGAGTATCTTCTGCTTTGTTGAGGAGAATTGTGTTCTGCTATTGAGATCATTTGGATCACAATTTCCTGTAAGGGAGGAGTACAGTCTGACATCCCTGCTCAGGGAGGGACTGCTGTGGGGGTTGCTGTGGGGCTGCCACACACCAGCCAAGCCCTGGTACTTGACCCTCCCTTAACATCCAGGACTTTGCTATTCAGAGAGACCCCTGTATGTCAAGTGGGCATTTCCATGCTTCCCAAAAGCTGGCCTTGGGGAATTCTGCCTTTCCTAGCAGCTGGTTTGGGTCTCTGGGAGAGGTGGCAGGCCTTGCCATCTTGACTTGGGGAAGACCAGCTAGGGCTGTGCTCCTTTGTTTGCCTAAGTGGCACTGGGAGGGTAGTGGGTATGGGTGGTGTGGGATACACCAGTCAGAATCCTCAGAAACCTGGTGCAGATAGATCTTGTCCCCTGGCAGTGCTTGGACTGGTGGTGGGGGCCGAAGCGTGCCTGTGTCCTGAAGGGAGTTCTGGGAACCCTGCAGATGGAATAGGAAAGTGATCCAGATCCTCTAAATCCTTATCCCATTAGCAATCTCACTCAGCTTGCAGCAGAAAGAAACTGCGGCTGTGGACTGACTTTTTTCTTAAAGCACGAGGCAAAATCGAATTCTTTCCAAGAGCAGCTTGTGCACAGACAAAGTCCAGCTCTTCCGTTGCCTGGGTCTGGTCTCCAGACGATGCAGTGAAAGGAGGAGAAGGCGTGCAGCTGTCTTGGGGCCTTGCTGGTGCTCCAGAGAGCGCATCCTCTCAGGGTCCTGGCCTCCCTGGCCAGGAAGCAGGGCCCTCTCAGAGGCCTCAGCAGGTGGGCTGGGAGGACAAGCTCTGAAAGTGGCTCCCTCCCTGTTTGCCTTTCAGGAAGTGTCTGGCTTGGGAAGGGAAGAGAGGATGCAGACAAGCGAACCAGCAGTTATAAAACTTTGGCGATGAGAAGTCACCTAGATCCCTGTGGGGCTGGCATGTCTGAGTGGCACTAGAGATGGGGTACTTCTGCATGCGGAGGAACGAAGTCCTCCCGCAGTGTGGCCCCACCTGCCTGGAGGCAGCCAGTTGGCTCCAGCTCTAGGAGGGCATCTCTTGAGAGGCTGGGGCCAGTCAGCTCCCTGCTCAGGTTTCAGCTTCAGCCTCGTAGAACAGGGACCTCGCCAGTCCCAAGGATTCCGCTGCCTCTAGAGCTCACTCAGATGGTTCCAAGGCAGGGCAGGGCAGGGCAGATGGGGGCTGCTCCTGGAAAAGACCCCCTCCCAACCCCAGCCACAGAGCCATATCCAAGTTCCACAGCTCTCACTGTGCGTGTGCGCTTGCGCATGTGGGGGGTGCAGGAAGGCCACCCCAGGGCTGGACGCAGTTCCCCTCACACACGATACTGTCTTGTGCCCCTTGGTTGAGGGTCATTCCTCATCCTGCTCACCTGACCTCATGCAGTGTGTGTAGAGCCTCTTTTAGGCTGACATTGGAGACTGATGCTGGGGAAAGGCCCCCACCTGTCCAGCAGCAGAGGAGGAGGGGACCATTGCTCTCCCAGTCCCCCAGCACCCCTGCCTGCAGTGCCACTCTGGGTAGAGGTCCCACTCCAGTTGCCAGGGGAGTGACCTGGGGCAGACTTCAGAAGACTGTTTCCTCTTCCTTTTGTAACTTGGATAATGGCAAAGTTTGACATTGAGAAGCACCAGAAGGGAGGAGTCAAACAGAGGTTTACTTAGAATTTTTCAGACAGCTTGGTCTTTTGTGCCTGGAGCGTTCTGACTATTTAGGCTGGAGCCAAGTTTTCTTCCTTCCTTTGTTGCCATTCTGGTCTTTAATCTGTGCCCGGGCTTGGAACTGCCCACCCAGGTGAACCAGAGTAGGAGGGCCCTGCCGCAGCCCGCTGAGTCCCCTGTGTGCATGAGTGCTGCAGGGCGAGGTTGGACTCAGCTCGCACTGTGCGCACAACCAGCTCAGCTTCCTCTCTCCCGCCCTGCTCCCAGTGCCTGTGCTGTGCCTACACTTGGTCTGCAACAGCACCAGACGGCTTGGTGCTTCATGGTGGTGGCGGCAGCAATCACAGCAGAGCAAGCCGTGACTGACAGTGATCTAGGGTGTGAAGTCTGTCTTTCAAGTCT